AGGCTTTGCTCTGGCAAAGCCTCAGAAGCGCGGGAACCCGCCCGGTGCCCCTGGTCTGCTGGAGACGGTCTCCAGCAGACCAGGGGCACCGGAGCAGCTTACGAACGGGGCTTTCTCGCCCCGACTTCCGGGGCGAGAAAGCTCCGTTCGTAAGTGCGGATCCGACATAAGTCGGATCCGCGTAAGTCGGGGACTGCCTGTACTGAAATGAGGCCACTAAATAATGTAGGCTCCCTCCTACAGTCGTCATTAAATTACACACAGCTCCTTTATAATACTTACCTTTGGACTGTTTGGAAGATCAGTTATGTTGGACCAAATAGCCCTCCAACTGACCAATTACTACATTAATATTGGGATGTTGGAGAAAATGACTGGCTGAACAATTTTACCTATCTGACTCCATGGCTCCTGCTAAGATTGTTTTCTAGATAATTCCCATCCAGGGAAGAACATTCTCACTGATATGAGTCACATGAGCTCAATAACTATATAGGATGTATAGATTAGGCAATACGTTGCTGTGGTGAAGGTCTAATAATTAGGCCATTAGGTTCTTGAGCTAATTTTAGCTTTAAGTAATTAGCAGACAAACACTAAAAATAATTTTACTTACCTTATTTATTGCGTGAAAGCAGTCTAGCAATGTTAGATGAAAATTGCAAGTACCAAATGAAGCATCCCTGTAACACACACACACACACACAAAATCAATTTTGATAGCTGATAGCATTTCTGGTTTCATAAGCCAAACTGCACGAGCTCCCTCCTGCATACCCAAAACTAAATATCAAAATGTTATTTCTCAAGAGCTAGCAGTAAAGAGAGTTGATTAGTTACTTCAAAATACTTCACTGTTTTCAATCTTGAGGTTTATTGATTTAAGTTTGATCTTATTTTCAATTGCTTTACTATCTTATGTTAACACACTGAGGCTATGTCTACACTACGGAGTTTTTCTGGGACACAGTATCCCAGAAAATCTGTGCCGCATCCAGGGAATGCATCTGCTCTTCCTAAGGGTACGTCTCGACTACATGCCTCTGCTACCAGACATAGGAAAATGAAGCGGCGATTTAAATAATCGCTGCTTCATTTAAATTTACATGGCTGCCGCGCTGAGCCAACAAACAGCTGATAGTCCTGGGATGAGGTATACCTGGGTGGTCAACAAATACCTTTGATGTCGACACCCGCGCGTCCAGACTATCGCACTGAGCTGACAAACAGCGGATCAGCTGTTTGTCGGCTCAGCGCGGCAGCCATGTAAATTTAAATGAAGCAGCGATTATTTAAATCGCCGCTTCATTTTCCTATGTCTGGTAGCAGAGGCATGTAGTCGAGACGTACCCTTAGGAAGAGCAGATGCATTCCCTGGATGCGGCACAGATTTTCTGGGATACTGTGTCCCAGAAAAACTCCGTAGTGTAGACATAGCCTCAGTGTGTTAACATAAGATAGTATTTTCAGAAAAGTAGACACGCTCTTTTGAAAGCCCTGTATTCCTCATGTTATGCGGAATAAGGGCTCTTCTGAAATAGGTTTTTCCTAAATTTGGCCCCGTGTAGGCAGAGTGCAATTTGCGTACTTTTTTCGAAAAAAGAATTGTAGTATAGGTATAACTGTAGATGACCCAACATTAAAGCTTATTTCAGCCACTTTTATTTAACAGTCCTGGTTCTAAGTATTCTGTGCTGTTATTTACCTCTAACTTGCCCCTAAATGTCTTTTAAGAGCCCAGTACACAGTGGAAGTCTTGGTAATGCTGTTAGACAATACTGACCTCATATAGTTCATCAAATCCTCTGGTTCAGTATCAGTCAGGTTCCAAGTGTGCCGGAGTAGAGAGGTTCAACTGTACTATGACAGTTATTGGCAAAGACAACTCATACTGCAGAAACTGTGGACTTAAAACTTATCTAAGATGGAAAAACCCAATTCCTTATTAGGGATGTGAAAGGTTAATGGTTGACTGGTTAACAGGTTAATTGATGGGGGCTGAAGCAGCTCTCTACCTGTCATGGTCAAGGGACTGCTTCAGCCCAAGCGGGTTTGCCACAGACAGGGGCTGCTTTGGTTGTCCAGAGCAGTCCCTGTCTGCAGGGCGTCCAGGGGCCTGGGTGCTCCGGAGGCATGGGGTTCCCCAGTGTCCAGAGCAGCCTGTCTGCAGAGAGCCCTGGACACGGGGGCCACTCTAACCCAGTGGGGCTGAAGCATGTTCCACCCCCTTTATTCACTTAACTGGTTAAACATACTGTTTAAGCAGTTAACCAATTAAGCGGGATTTGATATCCCTATTATATTAAAAAATAAATAAAGTTTCTGAATATCAGGATTATCTGTTCTAGTGTAATAACAGCTGATTTAAAAACATTTTAGGAAGCCAGTAATGGTATTGTCAATGGCAATTTATCACTTCCTCCCCTCTCTCCTCTATTTCTGCCAGAGCATGGAAAGAAATACTTTAAATAGTTTACTTCATGCTATGGATGTAAAAGAGTAGCTGAGTCGACTATTCACATTTCTCCCACCCCTTGCTGCCTTTATATGAGAGGTAGCAAAGGGGGGTAGGGGGAAAAGGAGCAGGAACCAGTACTTGTGGGAACTGGCTTAAAAGCAGATTCCACCACGCCCCCCAGCACCGTCTATGTGGTACCACTTCCTCCCCAACCTGCTGCTGCCTCTACCAGAGGCAGCAGTGCAGGAGGGCCAGGGGAGCCTGCTCCTGCAGCAGCCTCTATCTGCATAGACCCTCCCCCCCCTCCCCACGTCCCGGCAGACAGGAGCTGCTGCCACAGAACAGCCCCTGTTTGTGGAGTTACCTGCTGGGAACCCCTGCAGACAGGGGTTGCTGGACCCAGTATGAGCTGGGACTGAGCAAGCCTGGCTCAGTCCTGGCTTGCACCGGATCCAGGAGCTACCCCTGCTGAGGCTCTGCAGTTTAAATGTAGTAGGAGCCGGACTGCCTGAGCACCTGTCTCTTACTACGTTTAAACTGCAGAACTTGCAGCGGGGCAGCTCCTTCCCTCATAGACTAATCGTGTAGTAACATCCTAACTTCATGCTGCACTGTGGTACTACATATTTGGAGGGTCACTGATTTAAAATCTCTCTTCACCTTACCACTCTCTGTTGGCAAGTCCATCCCTCATTGTATGCTATAGACTTATTACCTACTACTCTCACCAACAACAGAGTTGCTGGAGGCACTACAGTGAAGTAGTACTGGTTTAGGCTTTTAAAAACGCATAACAAAAGGTACTTTGTTATAATGTTCTAACTAAAAATGAGAAAAGCAAGCATTTCAGCAAGAACTGCATCTACTGCATGCCCTCTCCTCTAATGAGTTGAGGGGGAGGGAGAAGAGGAAGGGAAGTAATAGAAGGACAAGGAACTAACTCAGGAAACTGACAATAGTATACAGAGAATTTCTCTAAGACTTCAATACAAATTCCTCTATTAGAAATGACCACAAGTAACTATTGTCTGATTGCAAAAAGAAATTCCTCTCACACTGGTTAATGAATAGTCAGTGTGGACAGAAATCTAAAGAGAATCTACAGCACTCTCTCAATTCACAGTTCTCTTCAGTGGCTTTGTCCTTGCTGCATCAGGCTTGAAAGCCATAGGCAAAATCCTGGTCCCACTGCACTCCGTGAGAGTTTTCTAGTTTGCTTTAATGGGAGGCTGGATTTCACTTTATACCTTAATTTCAAAAGCTTACTCGGGATGTTAGCATATAGCCGTTTAAACGATTAATGGTTAATCCAAACAACTACACACAACCCTCCCTTTGCTGACTCTGTATCAGAGGCAGCGAGGCACTGGAGGGAGGGCAGGGGGGAATCAGTGGCCACAGGGAGCTGACAAAGCCAGCTCCCCGTGCATGCTATCTGCCTGTCTCTCTCCCCCCGCCTCTGTGGGAGGCAGCATTGTGGGGGCAGGCAGGAGACTATACGGCCACTGGCAGAAAGGCAGCAAGTGGGGAGGCTGGGGGGGGGGACAGGGGGGAGCCAGCACACACAGAAAGACAGCTTTCAAGCTGGCTCCCAATGCGTATTGGCTCCTGTAGAGACGCCTGTCCCTCCACGCTGTTGCCTTTCTATCAGAAGCAGCAGTTCAGGGAGGGAGGCAGGCAGGAGCCACGTGGGGAAACCAGCTTGACAGCTCTCCCCACATGCTGGCTCCACGGAGTTGCTTCCTGCCCATTTGCTGCCTCCCACAGAAGTGGGAGGGAGGGGGAGAAAAGGTTTAAGCTGGCTCCCCCAAGCACTGGCTTTCAAGCTGGCTTTCTACCAGCATCACCTCTCCCGCATCCCCACACAGGGGATGGGGGCAGCTCAGATTCCCCACAGACGGGGGCTGCTGGAGCCCTGCTCTGCTGTTCCACCTGCCACCCCATGTTGCTGCCTCTGATACAAAAGCAGCAGCGCAGGGGGGCGGGGGGGGGGGGGGGTCCCAGGGAGTCAGGCTAGGAGCCAGAAGCATACTGGCTGCCGGTCCCGCCTCCAGGAGTATTTTAGTAACCATGTAAATGCTAAAAATTGTTGTAGCTACATGACATCTAACATTCCTAGGCTGAATACAGCTGTGCTGCTGCCAGAACTCAGGTCCTCATTCACGTTTTCCCCAAATGATCTCTGACTAACAGGGTTCAAAAAAAGAGCTAGATAAATTCATGGAGATTAGGTCCATCAATGGCTATTAGCCAGAATGGGTAGGAATGGTGTCCTTAAGCCCAGGGGTCGGCAACCTATGGCTCACAATCTCTAGGGAGTCAAATATGGTTCTTCTGGAGCCCCAGCTCAGCCACGCCCCCTCAGTCTCCCCACAGCAGGGAGCCTGCGTGGCACTACAGACTTACAGCCCCCGCAAGACTTAAATGCCAGCACAGCTTCCTGCAGGGATGGGCAAGGGGGGAAAAAATCCCCTCCCTGTCTGATCTGGTGTGCAGAGAACAAGTAGAACTACAGCGTTTTCTTTCTTCCCACGTGGGGGGAAACCAGGAACCAAAGATGGCTCCCTATGTACTAACATTTCCTTCTCTTGGGACACTTCCTGCAACCTCTCCTGCCAGCCCTTCCCAGAGGCTTCTGGGGAATGCCAGCTGCAGAAGGCGTGTCTGCTACGTGGCGTGAAAACAAGTGTCTCCCCACCCCCTCATGCCCAGATCCCCCTCCCCACTCAGCCCTTACTGCCAGACAGGCTGCCCTCAGCCCCAAGGCCAACATCCCCCCTGCCCCTGGCCAGGCCTCACCCCTTCACCCTCTCCTACACTTCACCTCCCGCTCAGATCCTGCACTCCCATCCTTATTCCATTCACTGGCAACTCTGTCCCGCACAGTTAATGCCTCATTTTTGGCCCCGACCCAGAGGCTGGGGGGCCCACAAAATCCACTAACCCTGGAACTCCAGAAGAATAAATTTGGCCTGAGGCCATGAACCTCAGTCCTCCCGGTCCCTCCTTCCACTATGGGACTGGAGCACAAAGGGAGTGGGGTGTTTCAGCTGGGGGTCACATCAGTGAGGGTTGGAGGTTTCTGGAGGTCTTCTTTTTGCTTCTCACTTGTGTGGTCCCCAACTGATTTTTCTGTGGGTCAGGGGCCCCCAACCCAAAAAAGGTTCCCCATGCCTGCCATAAAGAAAGACAATGCTGAAACCTTTTGTGTTGGACATAATATTGTACTTTATATAAAAACGAAGACTTGAAATCATGCATGAAGCTAGATTTGACTAGTTAGGATATAAACTTCAAAGAACTGTGGGAAGATACAGCAGCAGAAGTCCTGTTAAATAAAGTCTGTGAGTACGTTTCATTTATGCTATTATTAAGCATGTCAATCATCAATAATATTAAGTTGTATATTTTTAGTCATGCAAATGGGAATTCTTATGCAGCTCTCCATTGACCACTTTTTCTGAATTTTAATGTAGTGGGTTCTTTGGTTTGAAAAAGTTGCTCCTGCCGTAGCCTCTGTTTGTCTGGAAATGGATGACAGGAGAACGATCATGTGATGATTACCTGTTGTATTCACTCCCTCTAGGGCATCTGGCATTGGCGACTATTGGCAGATGGGATGGGCTGGATGGACCTTTGGTCTGACCTAATATGGCCGTTCTTATGTTGTATAGTTTCAAATCTTGTACTACTCCTCATTCTACCTTTACCCTTTTGGAAAGTCTCCTTTTGCATGATATGCAACCTCACACTCCTCCAAAACCCTTTGCAGCTTAGCTTATAAGCTTTTTGGGGCAGGGCCCATTTTTGTGTTATACACACATGTGTACCTAGCACCACAGGACCACGATTAAAGCCTCTAGGTACTACTACAATATAAATAAATAATACAAGTCAGTTGTGTAAATTAACTCATTTTTCCATCACTAAATTCTGTTTATATTTAATAAGATCTCTCTCTTGTAGAACATATACATTTTTAAAACAAATAGTTTTTCCTTGAAAAATAATACATTATCATTTGTCTGTTGCAATCGTTTCTTTTCTAAGTGCTCACCGCCCTCACCCCCAGCATGGCCTGCTCTTTTGTACTGTCATCCAGTTTAGATTGCAAGCACCTTAGACCAATGACCCAGTCTTTCTACAGAGCTTTAAATTCATCATATGTTTCTGTAGCACTATGTAACTATACAACAACCCATCTTAGGTGACCAGAGAATGGGACAAAAATAAGAGGATTAGATAGCCTGTTCTACAAGATTCTCTGCAATACTAATCGTAACTGACATATCACCATTCTTTCTGACAGTCTTTGAGGCATGGAAGATACAATAAGCATGACGGCTGAAGGCCTCTCAATCCCAAAACACACTGACATAGCTTGGAAAATAGCATTGCATTGTTTCACTGCCTGCATAAGACCTATTTTATGGATATAAAATAAAAATATATATATAAAAAATTCAGTGTTACCAAGCCTATCCAACAACTTTCATAAGCACTAAATTTACTTTATACGCTCTAAAAGGTTACTCCCAGACTTGGATGCATGATCTGCTGGGAGGGTAAAAAACCACAGTTAAAAAGGAGGGGAGAGGAGAGAAATAAGAGTTTGGTAGACAGCTACTCCTTAAGAAGAGTCCTATTACTGCCATTGTTGGAACTCTGTAAATAGGCAAAAGCAGCTCCTAAAGCCCTACTACTGTTGACAAGGAAAAGGTAGCATGTCAGAAAACCAAGACTTTATAGAAAACCCTGCTGTTCCTAAAAACAGGAGAAAGACATGAGACAATTGCTCTGATAAGAAATGCTTACTTGCTTTTAGAGTTAGGGGTGAAAAGAACACCCTATAAATCTAAATTTCTAGAGTAAACTAGAGCCTTTGGCCCTTCCTTAAACTTCCTGCATTTTATGAAAGCCTGTCTGATTGCTAGATGGCCTTATCTAACTTTTGAAAGCCTTACTGTTTTAGGAGACTTTTACAAAGTTATTCATGTTCAGGACCTGTTAACCTTGATTTTCTACTGGATAAAAACAGAGTGGCAACAAGAAGTCTCTAGTATAGGACACCTAAAATTGTATCCTCTGCAGTATCCCTGTCACTCCACTACCCGAACTTGTTTTCATCAGAGACTGGGGATGTAAGTGAGTACTTGAGTAGTTGACTATTAGATAAACCTAGGCTTATCAGGTAGCCGAATCGACTATTTGCTCTCCCGCCCCCCCTTGTATCAGCAAGTATATAAATATTACATTTTATTCCATAATATAGTACATCACACCATACTTTCCTATATCACGACAGTACATCGCACAATATCAGAGGCAGCGGGGGCGGGGGGCGCGGGGGAGGAAAGGAGCTGGTACTAGGGAGAGAGCGCTTAAAAGCCAGTACCCCAGCACCATTTCCACAGTGCCGCCTCCCCCTGCCCTTGCTGCTGCCTTTATCAGAGGCAACAACGCAGGGACGAGGCTGCGATGAACCAGCCTCTGCCTTCAACAGGCTCAGACTTGCCATGGGCAGAGGCTGCTCTAGCAGCAGTCCATGTCTGCAGGGAGGGCCAGTGGGGAGCTGTGCCCTTCATGGACAGAGGCTGCTGCCACAAAGCAGCCCCTTCTCTGCAGCGGCCAGGAGAGGCTGCTCCAATAGCAGCCTCTGTCTGTGGGGAGTCCTAGCTCCCCAGTGAGACCCCCTGTAGACAGGGGCTGCTGACCCCAGTGCAAACTGAGACTGACCAATCCTGGCTCAGTCCCGGTTTGCACTGAGTCCAGGACCTATCCCCACTGCACCTCTGTAGTTTAAATGTAGTTGGAACTGGGTTGCCTGCATGCCTGGCTCTTAATACATTTAAACTACAGAGCTGCAGCAGGGGTAACTCCTGGACCCAGCGCGAGCCGGGACTGAGGAAGCCTTCCCTTACTGGTTAATTGCGTACTAGAAATTTGTATTGACTACACGATTAGTGGCTCACCCATCTCTTAACATCCTTATCAGAGACTGTCAAATACGTGTTGTCATGTGCAGTCACTAAAGGCAAGGGACCCAAATTCAGTTCCTTTTGTGACAGACCTAAGCCAGCAGCCTGCCACACTCTGGTGGAAGGCATGTGTACAGGGCACTGAATGAGTGATTTTCTCTTTCCAGAATAAACTACCAAAGCCTGCTGCAATAAAATGAAGGCAGGAAAAACACTTGGGATTAATTAACTAGATTGCTCTCTCAGGCAAGTCACTCAACACCTGTAGCCAATTACAGCAAGTGGAATTGCTTTAAAAGGCCTCCTCTAGGTAAGGAGAGGGGGAAGACAAAGTGTGACAGACCAGAAGGAGAAACAGGAGGAGTAAGATAAAAGTTGTGTGTGAGCTGGTTAACAAGTGCCAGAGGGAGACATTTTGGAGGGGTTGTTTGGGAAAGTGGCCCAGGGATAAAGCTGCCAAGATGGAAGGAAAAACAATCTTGACTGCTGCTGCTGCTACTTTAGGAGCCCTGGGCCGGAAGTCAGAGTAGTGGGTGGGCCCGGGTTCCCCCCAAACCTTACTACTTGAGACAGGTTCTGTGTTGGCATGGGGGGAAACCAGGACTATCAGGGTGTTTTCACCCCAAAACTATGGACTAGCCTATGAGGAGTATGGCTCACTAAGCTGTGGACCTAGCCTCCTGTAAAGGGAAAGGGGTTGCGTATAGGACCACGGCAAGTCTCTGAGGCTAATATTATTCACCAGTAGCGCAAGACCTAGGGGGCACAGCCAGAACTTTGCCACAATATACAAACCAGAGATCATGACACAGAATTCTAATAGTTGTATATTTACCTGAAAGGAAGATAACATATATTTCCAGCCAATAAGAGCCTGTACACATCTTCAGGTGATACTCTTAAGTATATTATCTATTTTTGGAAGAAAGAAAGAAAATATTTTAATGGTAATTTTAAACTACCTATTAATTCCAATCAATATTAACAGTAAAACATTAAACTAAATAATATGAAAAAAACATATGTTGAATACTATCTTTTTTCCTACAAGCATGGCATCAAGAACAAAAGAATATAAGCAAACAATGTGGTGGACAGAAGCAAAGCATATACTACGTAACATACTGTACTGGCCAATACCAATGTCAGAGTATGAATCAAAACACTCTCTGTATAGACATTATCAGGATTTGAGTTGAGTTTCAGATCCCAAAAATGCTTTTCTGATGCTATTGTATTAAATAGGATATTTGTGCTGTAATTCTCTATAACACATTATTCATGGACAATTCTGTACAAACTTTAAAGTGACTAAAATTTAAAAGGAAATACAAGAGCATATAAAATTTTAGAGCACTAAAGCAATAAAGCAATGCATCTGCAAAGTTGCATATCTACTCATGAGACATTCTGTACATTAATAAGAGGGAACGATGACCTTTCTAAAGTTGGAGCTGTAGATCACCACATTATTCCAAATCTTGCACCACCTTCACTGTACTACCTGAACAAACACTGGGTTAAGCAGTGCCCGTTAATTAAATCCAAATGCCACACACAAAAAGCATACCAGCCTATAATTTAATAGAAGGTAAGAAAAATATGGCTTGTACTAAGTACTCACAATATTTTATTGTTAAAAAGAAAACAGGAAAGGGTGCCAATATCACAAATTCACAGTTCCTTATAGGTTGTTTAAAAAAAAAAAAAAGGAGCTGTCTGGACCTAGAGATTGATCCCACTGTGAACAACAGGTTCTCTTGCCCAGTACTAAACATTTTTTTTTATAAATTACTCATCTTTTCTGTAAGTGTGCTGAAAACAACTCTATACTAGCTATTACACCATTTTCAGCACTGGTTAAAGGGTAGTTACTGTTGACAGGAGTTGTCAGAAACAGATCAGTTTTGAACTGTAAGATGAGGCCAGAGAGTTTACAGTAGTCATTGTGATAAAATATTTACCATCTCTCATTAGAACCAGTTTCATATGGACTACACATTGTTATTTTACAGAAGTATAAATCTGAAATGTTTAAACTGTTAAGGGATCATGTTTTTTATCTTTTAAAATGCTAAATTCCTTCCAAGTCTTTGTCAATAGTACATATTAAACAAACATTAAACTAAGTACTTTAAAATAATTCCAATTAGACAAAACAAAACAAAAAACAACATATCTACTTTTCCCAAGATTTCGTTTGTTTTTAGATAGTAATAAAGTATCTACGTAAATATTTCCCTCATCATTTAAGACTTTTTTTTCTTAGGCATTTTTTAAAAGCTGGTATTGCCTTGTAATTACAGTTACACAGTGGAAAAGCCAGATCTGAAGTTTAATAAAATCATGGTTGTTGGGAACTATGTTGGTAAGAAAGTGGGAAATATTTCCAAAAAAATCATAATAATGATGTAACACAAATTAACATCAAATAAAGTGGTGACTTATTTTTTTCCTCTAGCAAGGAGAACAGGAAAACATTTAACAAACAAAAATATTTTTAAAACAGGTACAAATTTTAGTTTACTTTTGGTCATTTAAATGTTCTAAATATCTCCAAAAATTGCCCTTTTTTTACTCAAACAAACATCCAGGGACAAGGATGATGCTAAAATTAAGTAGCATATATTGTTTGAGGATTATTCCTCAGAAGTCCATGCAGTTAGCATTCCCACGATGATATAGTTTAACACCATAATTATCAGTTACATGGTTTTCATATATAAATTATATTCCAAGAACAGTCAAGCCTGCTTTGATAAATGGACAAGACAAATCCAGCAGCACTACAATACAGGTTATTCTCAACCTGTAACAGTGCCAAAAGACATACACAGCCTTCCACAATCAACTTTACTAGGAAAACAAGATTCTTTCCCCATAAGGATAGCAACTAGAGGTAAATAAACAGTAAGGGTACGTCTATACTTGCACCCTAGTTCGAACTAGGGATGCAAATGTAGGTGACCAAAATTGCTAATGAAGTGGGGATTTAAATATCCCACGCTTCATTAGCATGATCTAGTCGGAGAGTTTCGAAACAGCTGTTGAGCGGAGTAATGCTCCAGCGAGATCATGCTAATGAAGCGCGGGACATTTAAATCCCCGCTTCATTGACTATTTTGAATGCCTACATTTGCATCTCTAGTTCGAACTAGGGTGCAAGTGTAGACATACCCTAAGTGCCTACACGAGCGCTTAGTCTACACTAAAAGAATAGAGATGCAATTTATATCAACTGCCTTCCTAGCATAGATGCAGCTAATAATGGCAAAAGATTACAGTTGCTCAAATAAAATAAACTATACTGCCAAAACACATGTTTTTGCCAGTATATAAGTGTTATTTAATAGCAAACCAACTACCCAACCAACCAATCAACCAATGACATTCCTCAACAACATTATGCTGGCAAGAGTTTTAGATGGAGACCTCATCTGAGCAGTAAAAACGGTTATAACACAATTTTAAACACACAAATTGTTAACATACAATCTTAACGCTCAGCATACAGACAATGACAGAATTTTTTTAAAATTATGTCAGTGACTATTACTTTCAGCCTAGCAATCCTTAACTACACTAAAGGCTGACATGTCTGTACACTGTAACTAGAGATGTAAAATTTTGTTATTTTGCTAATCGAATAGTCTATGCGGGGGCTTCCACCTTTGAAGTGTAGTAACAGCCCCAGGGCTGTTGCTACACTTCAAAGCTGAAAGCACTGTGGGGAGCATGGGACCAACGGGAGACACAAGCAGTCCCTGGCTGACCCTGTGCTCCCCACAGCGTTTCAAAGCGGCAGCGCCGCATGAAGTCCAGGGTCAGCTGGGGATTCTGTGTCCCCAGCTGATCCTGGACTTCACATGGCACTGCCACTTTGAAATGCCACAGGGAGCCTATTGTCAGTCTCCACGTGGTTTTTCAAAGCAGCAGTGCCGCGTGGAGCCCAGGGTCAGTGGGGGAATCCCCAGCTGACCCTGGGCTCCACATGATGCTGCCACTTTGCAATGCCACTTTGACAATGCAGCGTGCAGCCCGAGCTCCCAACTGGCCCCAGGCTGCATGCGGCATTTCAAAGTGGCGATGCCATGTGGAGCCTGGGGTCTGGCCCCAGGCTCCATGTGACACTGCAGCTTTGATGAGCCCCCTCCTCCTCTCCACCATTGCTGCCTCTTTCCAACAGAAGCAGCAGGTGGGAGGAGGGGAGTGACTAGTCTGTCAACTACCTGATAAGCATTTCCTTATTAGATAGTCGACTAGTCGTTCACATCCCTAACTGTAACAGTGTGTCATATTAGAGCAGAGACAAGTCCTTAAGATTCAGTCAGCACACAACAGAGTCACTATAGAAGGAACAAAATGCAGGACAATGTAGCACTTTAAAGACTAACAAGATGGTTTATTAGATGATGAGCTTTCGTGGGCCAGACCCATTTCCTCAGATCAAATAGTGGAAGAAAATAGTCACAACCATATATACCAAAGGATACAATTAAAAAAAATGAACACATATGAAAAGGACAAATCACATTTCATTTGTCCTTTTCATATGTGTTCATTTTTTTTAATTGTATCCTTTGGTATATATGGTTGTGACTATTTTCTTCCACTATTTGATCTGAGGAAGTGGGTCTGGCCCACGAAAGCTCATCATCTAATAAACCATCTTGTTAGTCTTTAAAGTGCTACATTGTCCTGCATTTTGCTTCAGCTACCACAGACTAACACGGCTACATTTCTATCACTATAGAAGGAAGTGTCACAGAACAGTGAGGTTTTTTTCAGAACTTGTGCATATAGGGAACAATCTTGATGAACTTCACTTAGGAGAAGGGAGAATGTTCAAGATGCAAGAGAAGACACATAAGATGACAAATACTGAATAAGGAGTTACATGGACCTAGCAATAGAGAGGGACTTGAATAGATTTTGAGTACAGGATATGAAGAATAGGTGTGATGTTATGGAGGGATGCTTTAGAAAAAATGAAGAGTAGCTTAGTCTACTATTGACTATCCTGATGTAAAGGCTAAGTATCAAATCCAGACTGGCAGGTGTTTTTGAACAGCCCCCAAAATCTTGATTAGCTTGTTATCATATCTGGGCTCTGAACATTGACTATACCTTGACCAAGACATTTGGACTTTAACATACAACAATTGATTATTTCTGTTTTACACTGAAAACTGG